TTTTGCATTTGCATACCTAATACATACGCTTTTTTAAAATGCATTGTTTAAGGGAGCATATAGCGCAGTGGTTAGAGGCGCCCTGCAGTGCACATAGGGATCGATTTCAGCGCGCTACGTTCACCAAGCCTTCCATCCCTCCAGGATCGAAAAATTGCTACCAAATTTGTCTAGGAAGATAACCACTGGCTCGATACATCGGTGGGCCACCGCGAATCATTGTACAGGCCAGATATAGATTCAATCACTTTAACGATGCTCGATGCAGTCGTTTACATAGTGCACCTTTCAGGGTTAGATCAACGTCGAAGGCTTTAACCTTCTTATCCTTTTAACTTCCTTCCACTCTTTTTGAAGTTAACACCATGTCATCTTAGGAGGTTAGCGCACTAAAATAATCATACTGGAGTGATCTCGTTATTTAACTTTGGTACCTTTAATATATCGAAAATTTACTCTTCATTTATTTAATCTTTCCTTTGTTGTGCGAGCCACATTTTTAGGCTGCCGCCAACCTAGATTGGTTATAAGCTGATAGTGCCGATATGTCAGTAGCGCTGCATTGCATGTATTCTTTTTGTACGAAAGTAAACGTGTGCTGTGCAACAATTTCGCGATTGCTGGAAAAGAAAACGGTACTATTTTTAGGATCAAGCGAAAATACCGGTTTCTTTTGCAAAAATATTTAGTTGTCGTGTCAGCTGTCAATAACATCAGCACGACGGCTAAGGAACCAGCTTCACCGTAGCCAGAAGCGTAAGTATTACACGAATTACTGTTTAATGCCGACCGTTGACTTCGTAGGCATTATCAGGCCAAATTAGTAATTTATCGATGTTAACACTTGGAAGTTAAGATAAAAGCAAATCTACGTCAGCAGCTGTCTCCTAGCTGATTATCTTGTAGCTCAAGGAAGCAAGAACACCTTATGATGATGACAACAAACGCCGTTCACGGTGGTCTTAGGCTTACGAAGGAAACTTACCCACTTCGCAATTAGATGCTGTAGTACTACGTAAGTGAAATTACGTTATAAAACTCTAATTGGCCCCTAACTTCATTCGTACTTAAGCACCTTACGGAAAAGATATACCAACGTGAAATCATGAAAACTTTTTCCTGTTTTCCACCTAAGGCCGGATTACTCTCAAATGGCGGTTTGCAAACCCGTTTTGAAGTCAGAAATCACGATAAATTTCATGTGATTACCTACACAAGACGAGGAAAATGTATCATTTCGTGATGCTTAGATGGGGTCTTGTCTGCCTGTCTCACTCCTCGAATCTTCAAGTCAAGAGAGAATCAGCATTATTAGTTGCCTCTAATCAACCTACTCACTGGATAACATCGAAAGGTTTTAGTCCTATGGTCAAACGAAGAAACCATATTCAACAAAATGCATTTCGAAATAGGATTTTTCCGAGGAAAATGGCGTTGAAATAGAAATACCACTATGTCATAGGTCGGAACAGGAATAGAAATCGTCATAAAATACTTTTACAATGCATGGCGGAAAATCTGAAGCAGCTCAGAAGCAAACCTTTATTAAAAGCTATCATCCAGGTTATCGTGAATATACTGTTTAGCACCACGCCCTGCTTATTGAAGTAAGCATTCCCATCACTTCCTTATACTGAATTAAAATAACAGCGAATAAATTTTTTCGGGCCTTTCACCACGCTTTGCCAATATCCCAGTTGAGGTTAGAAGAATGAATAGTGGTACGACTCCAGATCCGAAAGGTAAAACAAAGAATGCTGTCATCTTAGCTAAAGTGAAAGACTATAGGTTAGCGTAGACCCTTGTTCAAGAACGTACTGCCCAAGAAAGATAAGAAGGCGTGCTAGCAAATAACATAACGAGTCTACTTAGTATGCATGCACCACATACTTTTCAGAAGGATCGTCTCAGGTACTTTGGATGAATTCCTAGTAATTGGGAAAAATAGGATTTTTATAAGAATTTCGTCATATGGACTACTTCCATATCTTAAATAAGGTAACATACGTCCACTACTGGTATTACTAGCTATGTGTTCTAATCCTTCTTCACCATGCAAACCCGTGTCACAGCACCGGAATGGTCCCGTCCAGCCGGTATTTGTCGATACAGTTCTGCTGTAAAAGCTTTATGTATTTGCTATCACAATTCCACCATGTTACCGCAACTTCACTGCTTTCAATTCAAGCTAGAAAACGTAAACAAGAAGGTAGGCCTTTCTCAAAGTCTTTGACATCGAACGTAACTAATGAAGTCATATAATGGACCTCAGATGGTCAATTGAGAATTTTTTAGCAAACGATTATAAGACCGACGTAACGAAAGAGTTTAGATATAGACCAAATTCATAAGCGATGCTCTCGAGAAAACGAAAGCGATTAAATTTGTGCTAGAATACGCCAAATTCGCAAGAAGATGCCCTAATGCATTCCAAAAGAAATTCCAATTTCTAATAGTGATCATTATAACTAAGCCCATCCACAGCTCAACCACCCAAGATCAGAACTATCAAAATTTATACGATTTTGCAATCAAGATCGGCTCTGTATGCACTGACACTAGAAATTTCGCGCGGGATGGGCAATGATATTAACGCCGCTTAAATGCGCACGAGAGGGGGCGGATAGCACAGTAGTAGTGATGTCCCTCATCACGAGCATGATGCTATTTTGATTCCGCTCTAGGCCAACCAAGCCCCTCATCCCTCCTGGGTCGGGAAATTGGTAACGGACTTGTCCGGGAAAAAAAGTCATTCTCTGCAATCCGATTGGAAACGCTCCAGCCCGGCTACCTCAGAACTCTAGCGAGAATTTTGGAAGATCTTCGTGGGCAATGGATGCGAATCAAATGTGGGAAGTTCTGGGATCAGCACAGTAGATGTAAAGACAGATCAAATAAAAAAACAAATGCGCACAAGGTCTCGGTTCGATCTCACTACATAAACCAAGATTTCCATCTCTATGTAGTCCGTAGGGGGGGTTACCAGAGTTTTCAGCGAGGATAGCAGCACTGGCTCGATACATCCGTTGGCCACAGAGAGTAATTGTAAAGACCAGATATGCATTTAATCACCTCCAACGATAATCAATGAAGTTGAACGCATGGCGCACCCCTCAGGGATTGCTCAATACCGAGAGCTTTATCCTTTTTTATCCTTTATATAACCCAGAAATCGGTATCAGATTTAGAAGCTCTCTCGTACCCACAAGATCTGAAAACAATTTAGCAAGTTTATTACAGGATTCAAGAACGAACAAACTCGACCACAGTTCAGCGACAGTGACAAAGAATACCAGCAAATTACGAACCACTCCATAGATTATGGATAAGCGAAAATGCGTCGAATGAAAGAAGTGCTAGTATCCGCATTATATTTGATATTAGACCACACAAAAGGAAGAATTTTGGTCTCTAGAAGGAACGAATTCTCTGCGTACATTTTTAGCAGCGCCTTCGTTGTTAAAGACTTTTCTCAAGAAGTAGTTGATATACTTAGAAAGTGGTAGTCGATTGGTAACTGATCTGCTGAATATGTTGGCTAAGGGAAAGTTTTGCAGCCTAACTCTTTCAACTTCTACGGCATTGGTTATGCAATCAATAAGATTAAATCATTTCTACTGACAAAGTTAAGATAAGCACGTTACTGTTTTTTCAGGATTTCATTGATTCCATGACATTAATTCTTTGTCATTTTTGTTCATAAAGAATTGAAGCCATTTTTCTAGAAGGTTCCGTCTCCCAAAATGAAGAAGATATCATAGCCATCTCTTAGTGCAAATGTGGAATTGGGAGCTTCAACATACCCAGTTGCTGAGAAGATGAGTGTCATTGGAGGTGGTATAAGATCCGCTTTTCACTATACGTCAAAATGTGGCCAACAATTGGACCCTTTTTTGCACGAAAGGCGCTCGCAAAAGACTTCGTGACGGCTACCTCGCCGCCACTTGTTCAGTTCATATGACCCCTTTTATCGAACTGTTTCATCATTCTAATTTGTTCTAAATGACGAACGATTATTGGTGAAAGGGTGATGGTGAAAGTGGTGAAAATGAAAGTTGAGCTATTCTGCAATTCCTGAAATGGTTTTTGGGCGGGTATTTTTAGTTTCAAATGCCGATTGTTAACTGATGGCAGGCGCTCAGTATTTTCTACAACTAGATGGTTCAAATTCCTAATATGAAACCTGAAGAACCATCCATGCGTTATGACTTTAGAACCCTTCCATGACACATGGTCCAACGACATTTTAGAAGAATAGAGGTTTGAACTTATGAAGCAAAAGGATAAGATATCTATGCTTTGAAAAAATCATTTAACTCGGAGTGAAGTCATTATGAACTGAGTATGGGATAAAGAATTATTTCCGGATTGTGACTTCAAAGACAGGTTTCGAAGAAAATCCATTTACCACACTCTTCTAAGTTCCTACAATGTAATGCAGAATTCCGTGTGAAGTTCAGCACGCCATGGAGACTCCTTCTGACTTCTGACATACAGTCTCTAGGTTAGGCTAGATTAGCCTCTTGGGGTAATGACACTGTAGTTCTAGAAGCGGCATACCGCATCAAATGCGACGTAATTCCTAATTAGAAACTAAGCACAAGAATATACCACTCTTTAAGCCGAACACAAAAACAAGAATCATAACAACTTTTGTATCACAGTTGCTGTAAATCTGTGAAGGTCTGAACTCCTCAACGACTTTAGTGATCGAGAGATTGTACGCAGTTATCGAAATGCACGCTTGAGAATGTGTTAAGCACACTCTTACACTGGCAACCGACACTCTTTTGGAAAGGTTTTCTAGGTTACTAACACTCACTACAGATTGAATACCCATCGTGGATAAGAGAAATTTTAATATTTTTTTAGAATTAACTTGCTTATATAACACTAGTTATTGTAACGAAATAGTTAGCGGCGTAACATCATTATGAATGCCATAGTGAAAAGATCTGATACGATATCCAAATGAATTAGGCGTGTTGATAAGCATGTGATTATGTATCCATAACATTTGTCTTCTGTGTTATCTGATTTGAGTGTTGAAATCGGACCGAAGTAATATATGCTAACATGCTCAAACGGACGTGATCGCTTAACTCTTTGTTCAGGAAGGTCACCTTCTTCCGCATATTTGTACGACAGATTCCAGAGAGATATCTTTCCCAGTATTTATCGTACTCTTCCTCAAATTGCCAAACTGGGTGAAATGCGAAATTGATTGAATTTTCTACTGTAGTATATTCTTCGCCATTGATCGTTTCACTGTTTTGCTCTTCAGGTGCTAGATAAGAGCGCTCGCCGGTCTTGCCTGTTGTGAGGTAGCCTAGGAGAGTTGCTAGGTGATGTAAACCAGAAGGAAGTATGATGTGCGATTGGTCGCCTTTCACTAAGGACCATAGTTGGTTAGAGCCTAATAGTATAGTGGGTTTCACTTGTAGTTCGTTGTTGGTTAGGTATACTGGAAGGTGGCGTTGATGAATAAAGTCTGTATCTTCTTTAGAAATTGGAGGAATAACAAATGGTTTCACCAAGTTATCGTGCGTATATAACAGCATCGGGGGCGGACGACCTTCGGCGTCCCATGCTTTGAGGGCGACTTTGTTCGACGGCTTTTCTCGTGCTTCCTCGGTTCCGAATGCGCATAAGCGTAGCTTAGTTCCCTCTATGACAGGAAGATCCATTTCTGCAGCGAATGATGCGTCAACGAAAGAGAGTTCAGCACCTGTATCCAGCAAAACTGCGACTTTTGAAGTGTTCCTGTAGTCCACCACTGTACTTTCTCCAGTTGGTAAAATTGTCGTTTGGTGACTTTGTAGATGCTGACCTTGTGACTGAATTTTTAGGACAGTGGTCTCTTGCGGTGCAAGCTCTTCTTGTTGTTGATTGACGTAGTTGATTTTCGACGTCGGCTGGTACGTCTTAGTCTCCTTAGTGCTATATTTCCTGTCTTTAATGGGCTTGTTGCTGTTTGGTTCGTTCTTGGAACGGTTCTGAAAGCTTGTTTCTTTCGACGTTGATTGAAGACAACATAAAGTATGATGCCGTCTCTGGAATTTGAAGCAAGATGACTTCTTGCAATTAGTTGAGTCATGGTATGGGGATGCGTAAGTGGCACACAATTTTTTAGTTTGAAGGTATTGTGAGTGGTCATATGGCGTCTTGTACATGTCGCAATTGAACAATTTGTGTTCGGCATTACAGTACATGCAGCAGTACTTCTTATCGGAGACGGAGATCGACGATCTGCTCTTATTCTCTTGTTTGCTGACAGCAACTAACATTGATTGGCACTTTGACGTGTACTGCCATACTTTTTCCTCCTTGGATATAACTCCCTCAATAAATTGGAAGAGTTGGTCCATCTGGAAGGGTTTCTCCATCACGACGTCATGTTTCTTTTCGATGACTTTCCGCTCTATGTTGTTAGAAACTTTAGATAATATTTTCTTAAACATACATTGATTGTCCACATTTCAGAAATTATCCCATTCCCAAATATTACCACTGGGAGTTGGTGTCGGAAGTGGTGGTCGTTCGAGATGTGTTACTGTAGCTATATTTTGGGAAAGTTCGATTGCTTGGATGTCTGTTTTTAGCTTTGTTGGGGTGTCTTGCTTTCTTTGTGAAATATTAGCAAACTCAATGCTTTTTATACGACTTCTGAATTTTACTAAGTAGTCTTCTGCTGCCTCGGTTATTTCCTCTGCTTCGCTGCAATGCATTTCACTGCCATCATCGCTCTCCAGTGTTAGATTCTGCTCTGAAAACTTTCTTTCGTACTCAACTAGTGCTTCGTTTAGCTTTGCGGTAGCTCCTTCGATGGTGAGAACGCCTTAATCTAGTCTGTAAATGCTGTCACATATGAAGGTTTCTGTTATCTCTCCATCACCGGATGACGTGCTGAGCATTTCCAATTGCTCATCTTTGAAACGCGTTAGTGTAGCCTCAAGCTTTTAGTGTAATGCGTGATATGTCGTTTTAGAACTCACAATGAGCTGGTCATGGTAAATTAAAGCGGAAAAGAGATCTTCGTGGAACTACAATTTGTGAACTCACGAAAGCGGTACCAAGTTAAAGTGGTAGCTGTGAAGTTGAACTGCGAAACTTGCTGTTGTTAGGCCCTTTCAAGCGACCAATGCACCATGTAACGAAATTAGCGGCGAAGTAGAGCGGTTCAGACCCGCTTGGCTAATATTCTACACGATCTCAACCGCTCCACTTCATCGCTAACTATTTCGTTACAGTTATGACGCCCTTCCACCCAACGATTTACCGCCTCATCGGGGTTGGGATGTGTTCCTGGGTGTCGGACTGCAATGTACAGCGGAGGACTCGTCCCCCCGGCAGGGTCTCCTAAGCTGAGGAGTCCGGCTTTTCTATCAGGAAGCCTAGCTAAGAGTAAACCAATATCAGGATCCACCAGCGTCCAGGTATCAAATTAGTCGTATGGTGGCAAATCTTCCTCCGATCCAGAAGAGCTGCGACTGCCTGTGGTGGGGAAGACCTGGACAGACTTTGGATAGGCCGACCTCGAGAATCCAGGGAAACAACGGCCAAGCCAGGAAAACTCCGAAAAGTGGAGATTATGCCGGAGTTCGCACAACTAGTGAGGACAGGCCGCCCAATTATCCAAGTAAGTATGACGATCTTAGGAAGAACATAAAAGAATGCAAAGCATCGAGTTCATTAATGCATAACAAATATACTATCAGTTTCTCGACCAGTATTACAATATATCTTTCGAATGTTTCTTCATAAAGCAATACGGTGGAAGCGAAATGCTCCTAAGTGCTTTACCACGTCTCGAAAAAAGATAAGTACACTTTTCACCTACTACCTACTTCTTCCACACTGTCAAGTTTCGGAAGACATTAAAATCATTAATTCCATAACAACACCACTGCAACACAACTTTTATTAACGAAGGCTTGCTACGGAACGCCGTGAATAAATTAAAAAAGGAATAAAGAGAACACTTGAAAATCACAAGACACGAACAGTTGGGAACTTTTGATAAGAAGGCGGTCAAAATGCACTGGAAAAAGACTCAGTTTTCACACGACAGCATATGTTGGGGTGATACGCTTGTAACACCATGCAAAAAACATAACGCACTATGATGACTATGGCCCGCTGTGAAAAAAAAAGCCTACTAAGAGATTCGACAGAGGTTTCTATAGGTCTACAAGACGGGTGTGATGGCGACTTTAGACGATTACAACAGCTAGGTTACGTCCAGACTTCCCTAACTGGGTAGTATCTACGTTGGTTAAAAACTAAAAGTCAAAACTCGAATTAGTTCAACACATTGGATGCAGTCACTAACTACGATATGAACTATTGAAGCCGAAACGAATCACGGTAACTCACATCCTTTCAGAATGAAAACCCCGTAGGGATCTTAACACTACAGCATATTTTACTGGCGAACAGAATAAAGACACTCAGTCAACCAGAACATGGTCAAAACAACGCACAGCGCAGGTCTCGGACACAGTTGTCCCCACAGTATATTTTGAGGTCGAGGAGGGAGTTTGCCAAAATCTCTGGGATTTCTCTCATTTACAAGACAATAGCTAGATGTGTGGAGCGATGACAACGACGACTACGACAATGAGCGGCACAAAAGCGATCTCTCGACTCAGAATATAAAAGACGACAGCATTACATAAGGCACAATGATAGCTGCAGACAACTGTGATCGGAAACCAGACGCGGAGCTCCGAAGACACAGAAGGAGACAATTCCACGTGGATGACAGCACCACCAAACAGATACAGATGCACAACACCACGACAACAATCACGAATTGCTGGAAAGCATCACATGGGGCGAGATACGAATCAATGGTTCTCAAGCAGACGATCAGAAGATGGACTTCTCCATTTTGCGTTGCTCGGCCATCTGAAATACGAAGAATTTTAAGAAGACTTAAGTGACTCACCAACCACGCTCATTGTACATACCTAAGCTAAGAAATACAGTTTTTGGAAAATGAAAAAAAAGCAGCTGCATGAGAGCTGAGGATCTAAGCAAATCTAGACTCCAGTAAACAAATAGGCTGTCACCTAGCACGGAATTCATCTTCGTTTAATGAGTCACAGCTTCTAACCTAATAGGTCATCCTGTGGGAGGATTTCGTGTTCTAGACACCACAGTCGTAACCTTTTTGATTAGCTTGCCATATTTTGCTGAACTTAGGCCTATGAAACTCAATATATAACCAAAGTATTCCCAACTGCATGATTTTGCAAAACCCTTTCTAGATCTTTCTTTAATCATAATTCATTTCTCTCTGGTAACTCAGGGCCGTACCAATTATGTACTTACATTCAAAATGGCCTTCTATAGAGTGTATCGCAAAAATTTCCCAGAAGGAACCACATTATGATAGAATGCTACAGACTTATGCTGCTGACCAATAACAACATCATTATGGAGAAATTGGAGATATTCCAACTACCTTCTACATTAGATTACTCCCATTACACTGTCAAGTAGTAATGCATATTTTGGATTAGAGAGCTGAAAATCACTCCTGAACCAATCCTTACTCTGACAACACATTCACAACACAACAACTTAAATTTATTGCCAACTAATAAACCAAGACTATCACAGTTCTTTTCGCCATATTTACACGAATATGAGTGCTCAAACTCAGAGACGCGATACATCACGTTTCTGTTGCTCAATAAAATTTTTAACCAATTACATCCTTCTTTCGAATGAAAGGGTACCGTAACGAAGAATTTAAAAGCTTGTCGGCATCTTTGCAATAGAATGTGTTAATTTCAGTCTCACAAATTGTGGTTAGGGAACTGATTGCTGCATATCTTCTCCTGGTAGAGAAAGCGAAAATATTTGAAAAAACAACACAATATGGATTTCACTAAACTACATACAACGAACGAGCAATGGCCCATGAGTAGAATATGTACCTTCATAATGAACAGCAGAAATAGAAGCGGGACAGAAGACAGTAACCCGCTGGGCTGGACATCCGTCATTGAGTGAAGCCGAGCGCGTTCATCAGCTTCGACTTCAGGCCTGACGATGAGTAACTAGTCGTCATGCGGGACATTTGTGAGGTTGCCATAATCTCGTCAGCAGATCGTAGAGACGGCTCCTGCTGCAAAGCGACACACATCACAGCACAGAACAATAGCATTCATTGCGTGCGATGAAGCCGCTATGCACGCCAATCGATATAACAATCGGCTGCAAACAGCATCATCGCCGCAAGCAGGACAGAGATTTCTCACGAGAGACAGAAAATTGAAAAATCGTGTTCATTGGTGAAGGCTGCATGCATTCTCGATTATGCCCGAAACTAAAGAAGCATCCAAAGAAATGTAATAAACCGAAAAGTACGAAGATCTGGAACATTTTAAATAATTCGGAGCACCATTGGTAACTCTGGTGAGAACCTTACTCAAAAATTGAGAGCCTAGGATAAACGAAGGAATAACAACAGAAACAAAAAATTCTCCGGCTAACAACCGAATATCTGCATTAGCATGGCCCGCTATGGTTTCTCTCCAATTATCCATTCTATTCGTCAGAGTTAAACCCATCGAAATGAATCGACACTTTAGCATCAAATTCGTAAGATGTAATGCCAATCTGTATCTTGGAAATACTACCGAAAAAAATAGTTCAAGATGCACTGAGTACCGTGCCAACAACACAGCCCGCACCAATTGTGCGCGGTATGCAACGACTAAAAAAAATTTGTTGGTTAAGAGAGTAAAGCCATCTAAGTTTAGAAAATAAAGCGGCAATTCCCTGTTTCCCTTCGATAAGCAAACATGAGGCTGGTATTATAGAACCTATTAGCATACAATAACTGACGTTTCGGCGGTTCCGCCCTCTTCTGAGTCTGGAGAGCCACACCTCAGATGATACCTATACATACCTGATTCTATGACCTGACTCAGGCACATTGCTCTCCCATGTATTACCCTGTGTGGCTGATCTCCACCAATTGAAATACTTGCAAAGAATAAGACGGTGGGTATTAAAAAGAAGCCGATTATTATACGGATTCAAAATTAAATGGTGAGTTTTATCTGCTAAGGATATAAAAGTGTTCGCCTGAGTAGACTGTATGTCAATTTGACTTTTCCAGACTACAAAGAAGACGAAACCGCCGAAACGTTATCTATTGTAAGCTAACAAATTCTATAACACCAAGCTCATTTTTGTAATCGAAGAGAAGCATTGAATAAAGCAGCGATTTCTATTTTGGCGAAATGACCCCCCATGTGCCGATAGTCAGAGAAAAGTCGCAGTATTAGTAACTGATCCAAAACGAAAGAAGCAGAAGCACTCAATGGAAACCCATGATTCGGCCTATCGACTTTTCCGACTTATAATAACTAAGAACGACAAAAAGTGCTCCTAACCTGCTTCTTAGCTCTAAGTGCAACATCTTCCAAGGTTTCTGCAGCTTCATATTTACCTTGACGCCGGTAGAGAGCTCCAAGATTCTTCAGCGTAGTCGTCACAGTTGGGCTAAACAAACACGGATAACAGTACTGAAAAACTATGTTACTGCATATCATGAAAATATTTAAACAAGAAGGACATCTTCGCAAGAACACCAAACCTGTCTACTTTAGCAGCTTTATGCCATCCACCATGATCGTGGTAGGCTATGGGACCAGCGTCTGTTCCACCTTTCTGCTTGATCGCTTCACGATCTTCGGCAATCTGCCAAATTGGCTTATTGTTCTCTCCAATCTAAATATATCACCCAAGTTAAGTTTCGCTTGAGGCATCACAAGTACTACTCCTTCAAAATTCTACAGGAGAGATAAAATTTCAAAACCTTGCCAAACTCTCGCTCGTGCGCTCGCGTTAAGATCTGTTTGTAGAGTTCCTCGGCCTCCTGAAAATAAACTCTGAGCAAAATGAAAAACACTCTCAGGCGCACAGGAAACGTGGTTAGGTATACTGTGCAACAACACACGCATGATAGCTGGTGCTATTCCTTCCAGGTTAACTATACACCTTACTCTATCGCTCGGAGTTGGTAAGTTGGTACGAAACTTGTTAGGAGAATCTCACAGGATAAGGACCTGCGAAAGGGTATTACTCTGCCAGGATTCCAGGAATAATCAATCCGGAAGGCATTCACGATTGTCGGCAACTTCAAAAGAGGAGGAATGCTTCAATGTATGGATGTAACACAAGGAATGGATTTGTCGATGGAAAGCACAGAGAAAACAAAACAAGCAGCATATTAGCTTCCACCGAACAATTTTCTTTCAAATCGACATAAAACTAAGTTGTAGTTTCGCATAGTGTAATAATGCAACCGCAGGTCCTACATTACACAACCATACCAATGTTTGAGTGATAATATAAGAGCATATGAATGATAATACAAGCATAGAACGAGTACACAGCAATAATAGCTAATCTGGCAGCAATGAAGGTGAATCATTTTAAAATTGGCTTTTCTACTCATCCATGAAGTCGAAAAACACAACTGAAAGACCAATTTAAACAAAGAAGGAAATTCATTACATCATTTTATTAACCTAATCAACCAACTTGTTAGACATTTCGACACGAAAGCAGATGAAATGAACTGTTTGCCTGTGCGATTTTATAACTTCGTGCTGAAACCAACAACATTGTTTCGACACACCTCGCAACAGTTTACCGCCTTATAATGGCTGGGAGGTGTTTTCGGGTGAGGGACTACGATGTACAGCGGAGGATTAAACGCCTGGCAGGGTCTCCCAAGCTGAGGAGTCCGGCGTTTCCATTAGGAAGTCTAGCTAAGAGCAAACCAATACCACAATACCAGGATCCACCACCGTCCTGGTATCAAAGTCGCATAGTGGCAAATCTCCCTCTGATCCAAAAGAGCGGTGACTGCCTGTGGTGGTGACGACCTGGGGCAGACCTCGCGACTCCATGGAACCAAGATGGTTAAACCAGAAAAACTCCAAAAAAAAAATGGAGATTGTGATGGGGCCCGCACGACCAGTGAAGACGGACTATCCAAGTATCCAAGTAAGAAAGTGTTTCGACACACTAATCAACGGATGCATGAACTAACGATAAAACGCGATAACCTTCGCTGCTGCAAAGAATCCACAATCGTAGACCCTCATTGTACCTATTCAAGCAACACAGCATGATCTAGGTGGCATAAAATGAGCACATGAAGATAGGAGAACAGTGAAAGCTCAATGATGCGATAGAAGAAAAACCCCTCGATAAATTAATGTCGTTTACCCGGAAAATGCCTGCGGCCCAAACATGATAAGTTCGCTTTGTCCATTCAGAATGATGAAAAGAACATTACGTGGAGTCTATATTAGTCATAATCTTATTAAATTTTCGAAACCGACTTTCCTTGAACCTCGGTATCACTAATCAATATGTATTCTTTCTTTGATAAGCTTACACGAGGTTGATAATGATATTTATTTATTTTCGGCTAACGTTTCGACATCTTCGTCTTCCTCAGAGCCGATGATCCGAGTCGATGGTCCATGCTTGTTGTTCGTCTCGACGTTGCAGCTTCGCCTTTCTGTCGAGTCAGGTCTTTCTCAGTGAGCCATCTTCTCGAATGAGGCATCCTCATTCAGTGATGCCCTTTTATACACGATGCTGATGGTGGATATAATGACAATGTCCGGTGGTAACAACTTGTATTTCTTCCGAACATACATCATTGCGCACATCGTGCAATAGTCGGTGTTTTTATCAGCTAGCGCAAAGCGTAGTAATATTTCGAAACCGACTTTCCTTGAACCTCGGTCTCACTAATCAATATGTCGAGACGAACAACAAGCATGGACCATCGACTCGGATCATCGGCTCTGAGGAAGACGAAGACGTCGAAACGTTAGCCGAAAATAAATAAATATCATTATCAACCTCGTGTAAGCTCATCAAAGAAAGAATACTTATCACTAAAGTTGTTCAGTCTTCCAATTTTCAACAAGAATCGCTCTCGGTTGATCAGTTGCATATGTACCACATTTGTCAAAGAAAGAGAAATGGATGAGTAAAAACATGCAGGTATTGGTATTTTCACGAACCTTGTACTTGCCCTGCTTAAGATACGCAGAGGAAAGGTTATTCTTGGTCTTTGCCACATTTGGGTCGTCGGGTCCTAGCTTGCTCTCATAGATTTCTAGGGCACGCCTGCAAATATCAATGCAGTGCGAAGGAGCGATGTACTGTTAAAGGACGGGAAGAATCGAAAAAAGAATTTGATTATATCCACATACTTATAATATTGTTCAACTTCTTCGTACTTCCCTTGATTCTGACAGAGGAGAGCCAAATTGTTCAACTGTTTTGCAACATCTGGGTTATCGTGACCAAGCACCTAAAGATTTATACAAATTATTTAACAAAGCAAACCAAGTCTACGCGAACATGGACAGATGAAGTGTGAAAAAATTGTTATTCTCAACAGTAACTTTTGCACTGCATTCGTATATACGTAGGTATATTTACCTTATTTTATATTTCCTTTCATACATTTTTGATTTGCACTTATTTTTAATCCCCTTGCCTTTACTTTTTTTTACATCAGAGGTAAGTACCGTTAATTAAAGCACACTCCTGGTTTGATCTCTCTGCTGGCTGACGAAACCTCTCATTCTTCCAGGATTGGGGAATCGGTACCAGAGTTATCTGGAGAAAGTTCACTCTCTGTAATCAAAGGGTGAACGCTCCAACTCGGCTATCTCAGGACACTAGGGAGAATCGACTCGACCAGCATTCAACAACATTCATGACGAAAGGAAAATCCTTAAGCAGCTGCCGAAACCACACATAAAAAGTTGGAAGAGCTTCGAGGATGATGGATGCGGGAAATAAATCAAATGCAAGAAGTTCTGGTAATCGCATCGTAGCCGTGGAAGACGGATCGCGCCAAATATAAAGGAAATTCGTATTATTTTGCTCAGATATGGTTCCCTGTTCTATCGTTGCTACCTTTCCTTTTTCCCAAGCACACATGTATCACAAATGACGTAAAAAAAAAACCTTTTCTCTAATTTCAAGAGCACGTTTGCACAGCGGCTCAGCGTCTTTGAATTTGCCTCGCTTTCCATATAGCACCGCCAGATTATTAAGAGTCGCGGCCACCTGTAAAAACGATAGACTACGGCTAAATTGTTTTTAAAAAACAATAGATTTGGGATCAGCTTACAGCTGAGTGGTTTTCACCCAGACACTTCTCTCGAATGGCCAGAGCTTCGTTAAGAAGATTAGCAGCTTCCTTGTACTTGTTTTGATCTCTACAACAGAATACACTTGCATATCATTTGTGCAAGGCGTAATATAAAAAAATAAACATTCAATCATAACTTCAATTTAAAAAGTTTATTAGTTAGTCAACAAAGATATAAAGGATGAAGGACAAAGCTCTCGGCGCTGATCAACCCCTGAAGGATGAGCCGTGTCTTCGACTTCATTAAGCATCGTTGGAAATGACTGAATGCACATCTGACCTTTATATTGACTAGTGGAGACCTACCGACGTATCCAGTCAGCGCTGCTATCCTTCCGGCCAGGTCTCGTAGCAATTTGACAACTTCGGAAAAATGAAAGGCTTGGTGGACCAGAGGCGCGAGGACCGACCCCATGTGTATCGCAAGGCGCTTTCCACCACTGCGCAACACACAAGCCATAATAAAGATATATGGACTACAAACAAGATTTTGTGCAGTGTAACAAGTCCGCACAAGTGCTTAGACTAAACTAGGTGACGATGTATCCATATTAGAGACTGATTTCCACCTACACTTTGCGCAAGTCAAAGCATTCTAATACGATAAAAATCGTTAATTCAAGACTCCTGGACGTGTTTTCGAACGCCAGCCACGCGCGATGACGCCTAATTTTCTGTCGGTTGCACAAAAAGCTGAGCTCGTCAGCCATTTAAACACATGCCTCTCAGAACTGGCTTTTCGATCCGTCACTCACAACGCCTTTACACGATGCTAGAGCAATAATTTGCTACATTACTATTTGAAATGAACAATTCGCAACAGATATTTTATCAGATTTAACGAATTGCACTTACTCAGTTAATCTGTATTGCTACTGTCTATGTTTTGTAGGCACTAGTCATTCTTTCATACATCTTGCCATGCATCCAGAAACTATGTTTATGCAGGAGTCCGAAGGAAATATTCCAGATTGTCTGGTAAAACAAAAGACCAACTTCGCGTCTGAGGTACCCAAATCGTGGACCTCTTTGAGCTCTTTGACAAATCAGTAGCGCTCGATATGACACAATGGACCAGGCCGATAAAGTATGGATTTATTATCCAAGTAAACTTAACAATAAGACATAAATACTTTGAAGAATTTCTATAGAACCAGTAAGCGTTTATCCTTTTATTTCTAGTCCATTTATGTAGAAAACTAGGTTTCGATACAACTAAAGAAGTCTGTCCCTTAAAATTACATAAATGAGGGCTTCTGTGACAATCCTTTTCTACAACGCGAAACAACCAACAATATAGACCTGGGTAGGTTACACTGTTACAGCTATCGCCAGTGCAACATTAAGTAAACATAGTAAAATCACTTGCCTGTAAACAAGTGCCAAAATGTTGAGCATCGTTGCCACATCGGGGTGATCGTGACCGCTTGTCTTTTCAAGATCTTCGAGAGCTTGTTTACAAAGTGGAACAGCGACTTCATAGCGACCTTGCGAGGCGTACTGTATCACCTGTAAGGCTTCTCCACAACTCCATATGAAAGTGCTACTTGACAAGCAAATATAACTATATGTTGCGGTATGAAAACAGCAAGCAACCAACTGGTTTAAGACATCTCGAGCTTCATTATTAAAGGAAAAGTCTGCGACAAACTGACAGACTTCGTGAGTAGCTCTCGGTGTTGATCAATCTGAGAGATGTGCCATGCGTTCGACTTCATTGAGGATCGTAAAAGGTGACTGAATGCATATCTGGCCTTTACAGTAAATCGTGGTGGCCTACTGATGTATCGAGCCAGTGCTGCTATCCTCCCAGACAAGTCTGGTACCAATTTGCCGACTCCATTAGGATGGAGAGTTTGGTGAGCCTAGGGAGCAGGGCATCGATCCTATGTGTATTGCAAGGCGCCTCCGACCAATGCGCTACACACACCCAGACTTCGTGATATGATAACAAAATTATTTTACTGCCATTCGGCGGCATAAATGTAACATATAAAACAAAAAAAGGAACGACGTATAATTATCCATATGATTTCAAAGATAAGCACACAATGGTTTTATGTAAAAGCAACTAAGAGAACAGGTCTTAGAACATTGTAGGCAAGCTCAAGGAAATTCCTGTTGAACACAACACTATTAATCAAAATAGGAGCCACCATTATGTTTACATCTTTTCCAACAAGGCACACATTTGTTCATCCCAATAACAATGGAATGCATTTTCAGCAGAGGCTTGGTTGTCGAGAAATTCCCCAGAAAGTATTTGCACAGGTGTTTGAAAAAGTGACATTTTGTTGCGAGATGAGTCTAGCGAGTGACGGTGTTTTCCCGTTGCCAACTCACTAAACCTTCGCAGTGATAGCTGTGCGACGGCTGAATAAGTGTTGTTAGGTTAGGATCGGAGCTCTTCTGTTGGCATCTTTGCACCTATGCTGCAGTTTCTGCATGATTTCGTAACATTACTTCATCGTTGTTGTCGTCTCAGCAAAACTGTACGCCTGGTATTAAATGATTCCTTCCGTCGAAAACGAGAAAACCACCATAAGTACTACTTGGTGAAACCCGACCTTGGAAACTGATGAACAGCTTCATCCCGGTTTAATCATCACTGAACTGAATGCCATAGGTTGTCGCATAGGATTGATTTTTCACCGTCTATCGCATTGTGGTCGGGAAGCAGGTCGTTTTTGCAGCCCAAAAGAAGTGCATAGTAGGCTTCACCATTACGATCTCTTTCCTTTTATTCACTTAATTTGGCACCATTTATTGAGTCTTCTTTACCTTCCCAGGACGAGGGACTATTATGAGTGGCGACTACCGACTTCCATAATCGCTTAGCTAGGTCCTAGACGGGTAACAGCGATTATCAATGTCAAACTATCTTCGTCTACTGTTCATAGCCGCCCACAACTTTCTCTGTCATGAAGAATTCGGTACTATGAACGCACTGCAAACCAAAGGAGCTGTCCATGCTCTGGTGACATTTCAATTTCCAACCGTTCTCAAATCGTGAAATTATAAAGCAAAACAACACTGTCATTATCTGCAAGGACCACTTACACTCGCATAAAAAATTGTAAATTAATTTTGTATAAAACACTCCATATGTTTACTGAGCAAGAAATAACCCTTGGAGCGATATACAGCAATAGGGTAACCAAAGAACAATTGCTATAACATGTAATTGTAGATTTTATGACGTCGAAATTCACGAGTAACTTCTTAACTAACTAATAAACAAGTTAGCGATTCAGATTCTGAAGGAAACAACAGTAAAAAAAAAATTTACAGTGTTGCTTTATCTTGACCACGAAAAGACAAAGCATGGAACTTTACCAGGTTATGAAGTGTACGCAGCCGTGCAGGGATCTCATAGCCAACAGATGCTGACGCAGCCATTGAGTGGGCAGGTGTTGGCTGAGTAAACTGACCTAGAATATCAATAAATGAAGTAACAACACCGAAAACCGACACTTTCGCGATCTTTGCTGCAGGTCGAAGAGTTACCTTACAGGGATAACGACTGACTAGTACTAATGCTAGTTATTTCGTAATAATTACATTGAAACTGCATATTTTGCATGTTTACTACAAGAGAGAAAGAGAACCTGTTATATTTCACCAACAGAATCTTCAAAACACCTTTAAAACGTAGTTAACATCAGCCCATGTATCGCACTGATTCGGATTCAGAGTTAAGGCTATGAGAAGGGAGGGAAGGGACAATGTCGAACGCTGGAGAAGAACTGGACCCAAAATATGACAACCGATGTGAGGAAACCCCTATCGGTAGGTTTCGTCACATCGATCGTCGTATTTTGGGTCCAGCTCTTCTCCAGTGTTCGGCTTTGCCTCTTACGTCGTTTCTGGTAGCTTATTAACGCTGAGTCCGGATCAGTGTGATACATCCTTCGACTTACGTTAACTACAGTTTTGCAACTATAACAATAGCAGCAACCTGCAAATTCAAGACCGAGGAATTCCTTAAAATAATCGTCATAATATCACACTTTGACGAAATAGAGTGATGGTAACAAACTTGACTGCAAATCTTCTTCGTCTTCAGGTCCGAATCCGAGGTCTTGGAGTGTGTCATTCGTTGACGGCACATTAGTCTCAGACGGTGCAGATTTCATATCGTTTTGCTAGAAAATGTAAAAACATTGCTCAACATGTGTACTCGCTTAAGGCTATAAATACAATTCACTAGATAACACCTGTACAAAATTATCCCAAACAACAGCCCTCTCGCGTAAAATTGTCAAGTCTTGTTGCTCAGCTTTTCGTAAAGGTTTGATATAAAAGGTTTAAAAATAGACGAACTGAAATCCCTTCCAAAACTGACAATGTCATCATCGAACTGCTTGATGGAATTCATGTACTTCAGGTGTTTATTTTCCTCTTCCAATGTGGCAACACGCTAAATAAAAAGTGATCGACGAACAACTCAAGAGACCGACTTTCTATAAAACTCGGCATAACTAATCGATGTATTTATTAATATGATATTGTAAACTGATTTTGAGTGCGAGGTTGGTATAAGTTGTCGTTGTCGTTGTTGGTCGATGGCTGACGTTTCGGCAATTTCGCCTTCCTCAAAGCCGTGAGGTTGCAAGTGGAACACAGATTCAAGAAAAACAGAAATGGAAGAAACAGTCCCACTCCAACATCACGGTTCTGAGGAAGGCGCAATCGCTAAGAGATCAGCCATCGAACAACAACTTACTTGGTTACCTGGACGTCCCGTCTTCACTTGTTGTGCGGATCCCATCATAATCTCCACTTTTTCGGAGTTTCGGTGGTTTAGCTATTGTGGTTCCCTGGAGTCCCAAGCTGAGCCAGGTCAAAGTCTGCCCTAAGTCGTCACCACCACAGGAAGTCGCTGCCTTTGTGGATCAGAGGGAGATTTGCCACCATGCGACTAATTTGATACCTGGACGCTGGTGGTTTTTTTGTAGTTTTGTACCATGACGGTGGCGGATCCTGGTATTGGTTTACTTTTAACTGGCCTTCCTGAAAGAAACGCTGTACCCCTTCTCAGCTTGGGATATCCCATCAGAGGGATGAATCCCCCACTGTAAACCGCAGCCTGACGCCCAAAAACACCTCCCAGCAACGATGAAACGGTAAACCGTTGGGAGGATCGACTAACAACGTTAACGACGACAACAACGACAACGACAACTGTACCAACCTCGCATCAACTCAACAAGATCAGTTCATAGGAACATATACATAAGTAGATCGGAAAACAATTATACCAAGTGAAACTCTGGTTTGAAGACAATTACCTGCTCAGACGTCTGCAGTTTTATTTGCGTTGAACTAAGTTCATCACGAAGCCATGCATTCTCCTGACACAAACGACGACGTTGAGCCTTAAAAAGATGTATAGCCTAAGATATGAACAGTAAAGATCTACTGAATAACAATCTTATCCCTTTTATTTACTGCCTTTTTCATTTTAATGGCAGGGTGTGTTGCGATTGTGATTATAACTAAGCCTCAGCTTAACTGGGTTCAATGCCGATTTGGGCTCCCCAGATCAATCCCGTTGACGGGTGATTGCTAATACCAAAAAGATCAATAGAACTAGCTGAGAGACAGGCAAAGCGAAGGACCCGGATGGTGTAGTGGTGAAGTGCGCTACTCACCGGTAAGGACAATAGTGCGCGTTCTTTCCCACCACATACACCTGCGGTCCGGAGTTTTGCAAATATCTCAGCATTATATACGATCTACTGAATACATTGACATCTGAATCGTAGCAGCATGAGGACAGGTGATCGTCAACGTACCTGATACTTCTGCTTTTCCGCCTCAAGATTATTTAAATGAGACATAATCGACACCATCATCTTAAAAAAAGTTCCTCATAAAAAGTCCTTCAAATAGAACCAATATCACCAAAGACGCCTACCGTAACTTCCTCCAAGCCAGTTGAGATGTTCGTGACGTTGTCTGAAATTTGGTGATGCTTCTCTCTTGGGATTGGCGCCTCATCCTCACTTATCCCTTGAAAGAAACCTACAGTAAGCAAGAAAATCACAGACAAAGAAAACTAACACAATTCTTTATGAAAAAAAGTGGGAAACCACAAGAATATAAGGCCATAAAGAATCTATATTACCAAGAAATCGTAATAAAAATTATAACAAATACACACGAGAGGAAGAGCAGACGCATGAAGTGATTTTAAAAAACAAACATCTTTAGGATCTGATCTTACAAGATGCTGCCTTCGGAACGTACCTTTCAGGCTGCTCTCGAGTGTCGTGCAAACGGTGCCATGTTCGTCCCGAAGGGCTTCAAGGCCTTGCTGGACTGTACGCAGGCCGGTCGCCACATCCTCCTGCGTCATGTTGCTCATCCTGGCCAGACTCTCGATCTTTCGCCTAAACCGAAACCAGCTTTTGAAATAGCTTCGCAAATGAGGGTTAAACACAGCACTGAGCACGCTTCATTGGAAACGAAACCCCTTTCAAAACGGCAACGAGGCAGTTTCTCACGTTGGCGAATTACTGAGACATTGATGTGAATGGTAAAAATAGCCAAATCGTCGAGACGGACTGAAAATGCCATGCAGAGGACGTCGGAAGGGGAGAATCGATCCCGTCAAACACTGCCTCGTAACGGTGTGTGAACAGAACCACAAGAAGTGCAAACTGATATCGGCAATGAGAGTTATGTGGAAAGGAAAATGTTCGAGTATTCCAGTCAGCTCTTCATGAGCCTTACTCGATTGATAACTGCACTGAGGCGACAAACATCTAAAACGTTGGTCCTCAAAGTCACTAGACGATTTTGCCATTTCGGTAACTGTTTCAGAAATAGACATATAAGTTTCTAAGTGGCCGATGAAGCAACTTCTAGTGAGTCTCCATTGGGAAGGAAAAAATGTGAGAAGCACAACGCGCAGAAGCAGTAGGATTGCACAGTTGACAGTTACAGCAGTATTCAGCACCTGGACTGGGGAACTTGTCCGATCACTACCAGTGAGAGCTGCTCCACTGTCAGACTACCCAGAGGTCTGGAAAGGTTTCTTTTTATGGGACTATGGGACGAATAATAAAGAAATCAGTACAACATAGGCTACTGTCCTCATAAATTCCAAGACGATTGGTTCAGAATTCTCAGAAACTACAAGTGTTTCAAGTGTTCATTACAACCAATAATACCTGGACACCAAGACTTCTTCAATAAATCTGCGGTTTTACAGAGCTAAAAACCCACTTCAGGACCCAAAAGTGGAGCTGCCTTCTTCGGTTGAAAGTTAGTGGATTATTTCTGGGTTTTCCGCTCCGCACGCGCTTCTACTTCTACCGATTTCCATCACCTATAGCGACAAATGCTTCACCTACATTTTGAGCAGAGCTAGATTTACCACCAGATAAGGTCTTAACAGTTAATTTAAGGAACTGCTCCAATTCAAGTTTCTTTCCAGTTCGGAAAAAAGCGATAGAAAACATTCACTTGCGTTATGGAGGAGAATCGCAAATGACAAATGAACAGCTAGAATCTTCGACAATTCTACACCAATTCATGTTAAACTAAATCGGATAGAAATTGTCCTCAACGAGTGAAATGAGCGATTGAGGACGCGCCACGAACGACGTGCGACGATCGATGAATCGCCGTGTGGCGTGGCCCTGTCGATGGGCCCTTGTGCCCGGAACGAACAGGACGGAGCTGAACTGGTTGACGCGACATCTAGTGAGGTGTGCAGACGACTAGAAGACTCACTAACAGTCCTGACACGAGAACCCCAATCGCAATAAGTGCTGCATTTGTAGTTGTGTCAACTGAAAAGCATCCAATTCCCGGCGAGAACGAATCCAGAGAGCTCCTTCACGTAATTACTTGACCTGCTTGTCAATGGAGTCGAAACATAGAAAGGGCTTCACAATCACTAACTGATAATAAGCATGAAAAGCTCTGCTATACTGTATCGCTCATCATCACTACAAACCAGAAGGGCTTCTTGTGAATGCTGCAGATCCGCAAAAATGCACAACTCGTGCTGAGAACCAACACCAGTATTACCTCTCCGACTGGCCACCATTTTCGAAGCATTTCCGTACTCTTACAATAAATTTGTATTGCCTGTGATAAAACGACATTTCAAAAATTATGGAGCACACAACAGGTAACGTAACGGTGGATTTCGATTTCTTCAGAGGTTCCTATTTGGCTGACTAAATTCCACATCAATTCGACTTTTCCAGGCTCAGAAGAGGCCGGAATCCGTATAAATGCTAGATGTCGTGAAAGAGATCCTACTAGGACAACTTCGTTTTTGCTCATCAAGAAAGCAATAGATTATTGATCAATGCCGAAGCGAATGGAAAACTAGTCCTGGGAATCATTCCAGTACGGCTTCAGATTTTTGACAAAAGTCCATTCTTCAAAAAAGTACCTACTATGCTTCAGGAATTCGATGCCAGGTCGCATAGAGTCATTTTGAATCATGGTAATATAAAATACTCTCAGTGACCCGGGTGTAGCGTCTGAATGGGTTATCAAGATATTCAAGATAAGGAGTACGATATTTGCATCAGGAAAACCAGTCAGTAGCACATCAATGCCACATCAGACTTTGACGGACTTCCTGTGGTTACTTCATCGCTAAATACTCCAATAGATTGTTCTGCAGCGTATTAAAAAGATTGGAGACCTTGGTTGACTCCGTTCTTGTCGCCAGGAGGTGCGAGATAGGGTTCTGATGCTAGACGGGCAAAACAAGTGAAGCTTAGGTTTTCACAGCAAAATAACTCATAGTTCAGTAACAACTAACCGGCGTTGCCTATCATTGGTAAATTTTTGGAGGAAGGCGATGGTTACATTCCATGACAGTCATTGAAATAATATGCGGTTGGTTAAAGAAGAGACTTTTGAACCATGAATGGATTGCTTTAAGGCGATAAATTTACAGGACTGGTCGCATTCTATCACTTTATTCTATGACAAATCTCTCTGTCTTGTTTTCATAGTGACCTTAAAATGGGGTTTGTCCTTCTTTCACAAGAAAAATGAGGAAGAGAATTGTTTGCATAGACAATTACCCTTTGCATTGTATGAATGGTCACTTCAAGGTTCTAACCTTCTTTCTCCCTAATCAATTTAACGACGACATCAACGTAATCTGGAAGAATATAGCTGAAGCTCAAGTTGCTACATTAAATGATAAAGGATAAAGCTCTCGGCGTAGATTAATCGCTGAGGGATGCGCCATGCATTCGATTTCATTAGGCACTGTTTGGAAGTGATTGAATGCATATCTGGCTTTCACAATGACTCGCGGTGGCCTACCGATGTATCGAGTTAGTGCTGCTATCCTCCCAGGCAAGTTTGGTACCAATCCGCTGACCCCGGTGGGATGGACGGCTCGGTGACTCTGGGACGCCGGGATCGATCCCAAGTATGTATTGCGGAGCGCCTCCGACCACCAGATCTTTCGTGCTCCTTTCTAAAGTTTGAAGGCGTGGCAGTTCTTCAAAAGTCTTTCCAATGTTGTTCACATACGAGATGGATAGATTTTTGCATCATTTGCTAGCTTTTCAGGAAGAGATTGATATGGCGCTCTTTGATACTCATAGATATTTACTCCAGTGCAAATTCCACAGTCATATTAGATATTGAGAAGGGCTTTCAGCTTCTAAAGAATGGTTTTTTAAATTAGAACTTTGAGATCAAGCTGATAAAGGATAATAGCGCGTTCGTTCCCCACTGCAGACACCTGCGGTCCGAAGTTTTGCAAATATCTCAGCATCATAGAAGTTATATTTCGCAATATACGCTGCCATTAAAAAGAGTAGGTGGTAAATAAAACCTTAAAAAAACGCAGGATTATTTGTTGAAGGCGAAATAGGCCAGCCCACTAAGCCGTACACTCGGAGCTCCTGTCTCTAACGTCAGGGGGTGAGACGATCAGTGACAAGCCACAAAATCTTGAGTTCCATAGGACGTTGCTGGAACCAGGTCTGACGAATACAAACATAACAAGCCGTGGAGGTTGTTCCTTATTCTGCACGTATAACTCCAGAACGCTTTCTTTAGACAGCGATTTTCATGCCCTTCATGGAGCAGATCACATCAAATTCAGTGTGGTCGCCCTATAAGGAATAAAAAGCATGAAGTGTAACATAAAAAAGTCCCGCTACGACGTTTCGGTGGCATAGACCTTGTCGTCCACCCCTGCATTGTCCACCCTATCAACTCGTACGAGATTATTTCTCATCGCATTTCCGTTCTTTGTCTTCAACCAATGCATCATAAAGAGATCACTATCATCAATTGCCACTCACCGACTGGTGCAGCGGATGAGTAAGAATTAGATGGGTTCCACTTTCAATTGGAGAAGGCTGTCAGCAATAGTAAAGCATATTAAAAATTTATTATAGATAATTCCACGTCAGAAGAGGAAGAACCAAGGAAAGCTAACATAAGATCGGAAAAATTGGATCAAGAGAAAGAAGTCAGTATGGACACCGTCTTGCAGGATTCTTGTCTGCAGCACGTGTCATCCATGGAAACTCGTTTTTCTAGATGAAATAAAGTCGCAGCTGTACGTGGGAGACTCCTTAGGGCACGACTCCTGCGGAGATCGAACTTCAGTGATCCTGAACACAGTTTGAACGTGGTTGATGCAGCAAGGTCCCTGTCGAAACCCTGCTTACTCAACCATTTGCGCCTCATTCAGTGTCCTTGATACGCTCGACGGAACAATCTTCATAAAGAGCAGGTAGAGTACAGTTAACATGCAAATCGGACGATAGCAAGGAAGATACCTTCGGTCATCTTTTTTAGGCAAGTTGACCGTACACAACGTCCCCACTGGCCAAGGATATCTTCCTCCTGAAGGTAGGATGTCATATGGTTTGTGAGAATTATGTGTAAATTGTGACTTTCAACTCTAAGAAAGTCGGTGGTGATATTATCGGGTGCTGGAGCTGTGCTCTTTTGCCATGCTTTTCTCCAGTGGACATTTTAGGGTCTTAGATGAGAAAATGCAACGGAAAAATTGGACTTTTCCGTTATTAACTCCATATCATAGCCGGAACCTTTGGTGATCCCATGTTTGTTTATTAGGGGTGACAGGGGAACATTATAATCTCACATGACCTGAAAGCTTTTTCAGAATGGTTTTTTTGTGCTATTTCTAACAGTTTTCTCTCCATGTACCGATGTACGTCTTCCCACAAAGTTCTTAAGCAACTGGCATTTATTAGAAGTGGTGCTAATTATATTGCAGTAGGATCAAGTTTCAATTTCCTTCTCTTCTCGAGAAACTGGTTAGTGATAATGGAGATGGGGTCTCATCTCCTTGCTTGAGGAACGGAGACGAATTCTGCACAATTTTTAATCTTTCGA